CGTCGGTGTGCCTGGATTGTGTGCAGTGATGGTGGTTTCAGGAGCCGCTGTAGCGGATTTTGGGGCAATGGAGGAGGAGGAGGAGGAGGAGGAGGAGGAGGAAGAGGAGGAAATGGACGAGGATGTTAGTCGGGGTTCGGGAGTGCGGTCAGTGTTAGCCTTCGACATGGAGGATTATGCAGAGTTGGACGTGGAGACAGCAGCTGGTGTAATCCGGGTGCTGCAGTTGATACGAAGATGTCATACAAGGACGATTTAAGCCCGGAACGTCCTCTGGCAGCGTGGACAGGTCAGGCCTGGTCGACAGTTGGCGTAGCGAGGTGGGTGCAGTTGGGATTTGCAAGCCCCCGTTTGGTTTTGACGGCGGTGATGCGGTTGGCTTCATAGATCGCTGCGCTTGTTCTTACTGCCCTTCTTCAGGTCGGTCGGTCTCGAGCGAGGTCTTCCCAGATGGCCGGTTTGATCTGCAGACGTTTTAGGGAAGTTTTCAGAGTGTCCTTGTTTCGGCGGACTTGGCCTCCTTGTTGGCGGTAAACCACGGCGACATCTCCGTAAAAGAGTCATTTGGGTAGTCGCTCGTCGTCCATCCGCAAGAGGTGGCCTCTCCAGCGCGGTTGCAGCTCCGTAAGTTCTGTTTATTCAGGGAAGCAGGTTTGAACCTTTGAGTATCCTATTTTCAACAGTAACCTTTTTCGGTGTACAGAGAAATTATCTGGGCTGAAATAATTTAGTCGAGCTTTAATGCTATGACAAAATGGGATGACCCTCAGAAGATTAGCTCGATCTTTCATCCCTCATGCTAATTGAGAAGCATAAATATGTCCATGCCCTTTTCGAATCTTTGTTTCGTTGGTGAGATCAAAATATCTGCAAGGAGGGCATTCCAAGGTATAACCATTCGGACAGAGAAAGAGATCTTCCGCACATCCAGACTTGCCTGCTGAGTGCGCAGTTTTAACAGGTTACCTCTGACGTTGGTCGTGGAAATGAATTCAAAAATGTACTCAAAGATCAAGTTGCAGTCCAAATCCTCCACTTGGCGGAATGTTTGCAAGAGCTTTTCGCGAAGTTGTTTATAACTCAAAGGGCAGAGGTTCAGATTTATTAGGTGGGTAGCATAAGGAAATGAGCTTTGGCCCCGAACTATGTTCATGGCTCTCCACCAAACTCTTCGAGGCAGTTTTGGTCTTAAACCGTCCATCGTCTTGAGGATTGTATGCCGGTTTCCAAGTTTTGCTGTCTCAGCATGGCGTCAGTGTTGAGGATTCCGGTCCGCTCCGGTACATCCGTGTCCATGATCCGGTTCTGCCATCTCCCCTTCAGAATACGTCGAAGACTGCTGAGGTGGAAGTTATTGAGTCCTTGAGCCTGCTTCATGTACACCGTCCAGGTCCCCGCTGCATAAGTGATTTCGGCATGATGACCGCCTTGTAAATTTTCAATTTAGTGTTGAGATGGTGACCGTGACGGTTCCAGGCTGAGCTTTGCAGACAACCGAAGGCTTGGCTGGCTTTGGAGATCCGGCAGGCCTCTTCATCGTCGAAGTTGGTGGTGCGGGTTATGGTTCTGTCAAGGTAGGTGAAGTTGCCCACGACTTGCAGTTGGAAGTCGTTCATGTTGATTTGGAGTGCTACGTAGGCTGCGTCGGATGTTAGTCGATGCATAACCACCGTTTTATCCGTGCGGATGGCCAGGAAGAAGTTTTCGCAGGCGGCGGCGAACGGGGCCATGCTTCTTTGCTTGTCCCCTCCCGAGGTGAAGTTGAGGACGCAGTCGTCGGCGAACAGAAGTTTATGAACGGTAGTTGTGGATACATGCAACTGGAAGTGCATCCTCCGGTGGTTGAGGAAGTGGCCGTTGTGGATCCATGGGCGTTCGTCACGGTAGGCGTCCATCAGCGTGGCAAAGAACATGACACCGAAGAGGGTAGGCTCGGGGAGGCAGCCCTGCTTCACTCCGTTGGTCACTGCGAGTGCCTCTGAGACAGCTCCATTGTCCGTAACGCGTGCCATCACGTCGTCATGGAGGTGACGCACCGTCTGAGTGAATCATTCGGAACAGCCGAATTTCTGCATGAGTTTCCACAGCCCCTCACGATTGACCGTGTCGAAGGCTATCGCCAAATCCACGGCGGCTGAGTAGAGGTGGATCCGAATCTCCTGACACCTTGTGTGCAGTTAACTCATGGTGAAGGTCATGTCCGTGGTCCCACGATGTCGGCGGAGGTGTCCGGTTGTGGGTCCACGTGACGGTCGTAGTAGGTCACTATATGGACCGCGGCCCACTCTCAGGACTTGGAGTCCGACTTTAAAGAGATTGCAGCAATTTAATCATGCAGAAGTTTCCTTCCCGTAACCAGTTTTGTTGGTTCGATAGCGGGTTATAAACTGCTTTGAATTGTGCCAATTAGCTTTTCGTGATACTCTCCACGACTCTGCCGAAAAAGCATGTGAAATATATGAGCCTGTAATTTGTTCTTGACGTCTGGTTGCAGTTTTTTGTCTAGAGGGGTAACATGCATCAGCTTCCAATTAGCTGGTCGTGTTTCAGTGTCAAATACATTTTGGGAAGCCCTGACCAACTTACGTAATTTTTCACTCGCAGGCTATCTGAGAAGCCGAATGGGATCTCATCTGTCTATGGAGGCTCCGACACTCTCGATGTGCCCAATTCTCTTTCGCTTCTGAAATACGATATTATTTATGCTAGGAATCTTCAGGTCCTTTGAGAATGCAGGAGGTGGGAACCTTGACGGTGGGCGCAGGCTAATTGGAGACCATGCTTCCCGGTTTGTTCCTCCTGTGCCCTGTAATGGTTGAGATGATCAACTTGCTTAGTAGTGCCGTATATTCTCGACGACTCTCGCCGCTAGGTAATTTCTATTTCGTCATGTCATTTAACTACCAAGGGCTCTTCTGCTTCTTGCTCGTCAACGACCAGTGGTTTTTGATGGGTTCGGAAGGATATTCTTTGACAATTCGTAATCTTCGTCGATAGCAATTGTAATTATTAAACTTTAGTCGAGGTTAGATTAATTTCCCTTATTTGATTGAAAGCACCTTGGCTCTTTTAAGTCACGGAATAGGGAAGGCCCAGCCAGCGCTTGGTTCAAATTCCCCGTCACGACCTTTAAAAGTCATCTGAAAACTGGAGCACAAGCAGAGAGCATGCTACAGAAGAAATCGCCACTTCGAGGCCAGCATCCAGGACCTGATGGTGTCCCAGTAAGCGATACAGAGATAAGCGTCCGTTCACGAAGAGCGTCAGTCGCGATGTGTTGTTTTCGCTAGAGTGCATGTCTGTTTCAGCAGGAATGGGGGACTGGCTGAGTGCTGTTCGTGTGAGTGGACAAATTAGGGTAGGAATAGGGGGGCCCATACTCACAAGGGCCCACGGGTCTCAAGCCAGAGCGTTCAACGCGCGTGAGGTGATGAAAGTTTTTGATGGCAGCCGAGAGTCACTGCAGTTGGACCGGAGGTGTCCCACTTCTAGCCGGCGGGGGTGGCCGTGTGTCAACAGCCGTCGCCGACATAGTTCGACAAAACGGAGCCGGAGAAAAGGGGAACTGGAGCACTGCTACAAACTTATCGGTGGTTAAACGACGGGAACGGATAAGACGGATGGCCCAGTAGTGGAAATATAATGTACAACAGAATGCTTGACAGGTTGGTTAAACTGTCAGTGTCTTGTGATAGATGGGAATTCCGAACGTAAACGATGACGGGGAGTAGAAGGAAGGATTATTGAAATGCGTGGATAAGATGACGAAAGGGTATGAGTGGAGCATTTTATGGGACGTGATGTCAAAAAGGAGACCAAAAATGATATAAAATCAGCGCCGAGAATGGCAGTATGAACATCAGCGACAGTAAATAGCAAACCAAATAGGCATCTTAGACCAAAATCTAGCGTTGAGAATCGTTGACCAAAACCTTTAATGGAAGTCCTGTTAGCTGCTTGGAGGAAAAGTGAAGGGTTTGGTGACTTGCGGTCAGTCAAGGTGGGTAGGGTTAGAGTGATCTCTGCGCCAGTATCCACGAGAAAATTACGACAGGAACTCCTGTCATAGTTGTGGATTAAGCGACTGGGAGAGAATGAGCCGACCACGTTCGTCGCCCTTACTGGTCGGCAGGAAAGTTTTCCAACACAGGTGTCTTGTATTTGCACGTAGGGTGACAGCGACGGGCGTTAGAACCACAATTACAATGATACCAACAGAAACCGTCAACTGTAGGCAGGTTTGGAGTGGAAGATCTCGGGCGGCGAGTGATGGAAGGACTACGACGATCACAAACAGGGGTGGTCCGGAGCTGGGAAACTTCGAGACTGAGGGCATACAGACGTTTGACGACATCGTCGATGGTAGGTGTCGTGAAAGCCCAATGAGAAAAATCTGCCGAAGTAGGTAGTAGATAATATGCGAGTATCCGATCAGCGGTCTCGGCCGGCGTTTGAAGTGATGAGGAAGGGATGTTGGGTGCAAGAATAGCTTGCACTGAGGAGAGCAGCCACTGGAGGAAATGCTGCTTGAATATGGTGCCGCTAGCTGTTGTTCCTCAGCTAGCTGCTCCAGGCGCCTAAGAAGCTGTGTTAGCATCCTATATCCAAGGTCCTCTTCAGAAATTAAACGTTGGAGGTGTCTTGTATTGACAGCGAAACATGGGAGATCATGGCCTCCTTTAGCGTAGTATAGGGAGTCTCTGTGAGTGGGCTGTCTAAAATATCACGGTTGTCTGTTGCAGTTTCCACTAGCAATGCGGCCACAAGATAATAAAATTTTGTCTCTTCCTACGTGATTTGACGCAGGGCAAAACGGGATCCGACTGTTCGCGGCCAAAGAGCTATGTCACTAATCCAGCAGGTTGGAGGGTCAAATGTGTAAGTGCCAGCAATAATAACAATAATTTTTATCCAAAATCGTGGGATCCGTTCATAGCAATTAAGAATAACTTTCACATGAATTTTGAAATTTTAGAATAGGTATATAGAATCTGTGCAATACTTAATTTATAGTTACTGAATAAGTAGTATGTTACGAGGTATGATGAGCGAGAAGGGGAAGAAAACTCCTAACATATAGACAATTTGAATAAGACTGGTTTAACGCTGTAGGAGAAAAAAACTGTCACTCCTAAATGTATAAAAAGCAGGCGGAACCGGCCTGTATGCAGCAGTGTATAACGGATTTCATTAAGGAGTAAGTAGAGAGAGAGATGAATGCTTTATTTTGAAAATAACATTCAAAACTTTCAGCAAAAACGGTTTTCCAGTACACAGTGATCACCATAGAGATTAACAGGTATTGGACAGGTGTACATAATTATATATGAAGAAAAAAGGAATTTAAGGTGCAAGATCGAGTTTCAGCTTTTGTTTTTCAGCATCTTTGCAGGTGAGATACCGGGCTAGAAATGGCAGTATGGAATTCTGATAAGCCGAAGTGCGACAAGGGATGTGGCGGAAGCATCGACGCATGGGGCATAAGGATATCGCAGCCATTACCTCATTATGAAGGGGATGGACGTTGTCATTCAAAATTCGGTCAGCAAATTGCTCCACCGTATTGAAGTGTCGCTGCACGATGAAAGCAAATTAAATATGATAGGAAACACCAGCAGCAGAGGCGAGCATTCGAATGACACGTTTAAAAATAATTTGATCTTTTTTAAGTAAAGCTGGAAAAATAACTGGAGAAAAATAAAGAATGAGTGGAAGAATACAGCCATCTACGAATCGCAAGATTAAGGAATGGGGTGTGTGATATGAACGTAGACGACGAATGTAATAAACAAGTTTTTGAATTCTTGTTAAAAGGGTTTCCATATGAAGAGAGAAAGAGAGATTTGAGGACAAAGTAACACCTAGGTACCGGAAAGAGGATACCTCATTGGGAAGAATATCCAAGGGTTCAGGAATGGGAGATGGTCGCAATCGAAACACACACTGTACTGATTTCTGATTGTTGAGTAGGAGTCCATTATTCGACGACCATGCGGAGACGTGATCTAAGCCATCCTTTAATAACTGTAATGGAGCCAGGTTTTTGAGTGGGTGGCCTACGACCATGTCTTCAGGTCAGGCAGGGTTGGCCTGCATGTGGTATTGAGTGAAAGGATCGAAAAGGGCATTATCAAGGCAGAATTCACATGCTGGATGAGGCCATTCATGTTAAAATGGCCAATATATAACCAGTCTCTAGGCGATAGGAACACGATGCGATCGATTTAATTCAGCCGAGTTCAGCCGTGGAGGGGGCAAGGGAGATGCGGCTTGACTATTAGTATATGGCGAATACAGAGGGTTCCGCCCAGAGTGTCGATAGAGCGCATTCTGTGAGGGGCACGATGCATGAACTGAAAAATCGAAGAAATTAACAGATCTGATGAGGGATTCTGGGAGGCTAAACTACACAAAAAAGAAGGAAATGTGAGCGGATACGAAAATGTAATGACGGCGTCCTAAAGTCCCGGTGGCCGTTTCTAGGTGTTATGGAGAAAGTTGTGCGGGAATGATGAGGAAAATAAAAGTTTGCTCCAGCCAGTGTTCAGATAAAGGCGCAGCCTTCTCCTAAAAGTGCGTAGAAAGATAGATAATTTTTATTAAAGACCCGTCAGGTTCCCATCAAAGAAAGTTAAAATAAATTTACATGTGAGTTTTAGACGAGGCAGGCAGACTCTTCAAAAAATGCAATTCATAGTTTCAGAATTAGTAGTCCATTGAGAAACATGATAAGTGAAGGGTGAAAAAAACTCCAAATAAAAAGTTAAAAATGATTGGATTAATTTCACAGGAAAAAACAAACCCTCAATAAAAATAATGACAAAAAGCGAGCTGGACTGGCCTGCAGGTGGCGGTATATAACGGATTGTAGTCGGTCATCGTTAGGGTCGCAATAAATCTCAGCCTTGAGGGGTACGTATGCGGGTCAGACAGGACTGGCCTGCATGTGGTATTGTATACGGGATTCACAAATGAGATCGTCTGGGCCGGATTGATACGCCGCATGAGACTC